GAGAATTTTGTGAAAAAACTCATACTTTGAAATACCATGAAACCACTCATGTTCGAAAAAAAAAATATTTCAGTATAATCAAACAATACAAATGTATTCTTTGGTATAATATACACTCAAAATTTTTAAATCTATTTGAAAAGGCATGAAAATTATACTACAGAAAATCATATCAGTGTAAAATCTCATAATTGTTCTCTCCGTTGATTTCCTTGAAAGACTATAAGCATAAAAGTACTCAATTGATCATGAGGAATCACTTTCATTTGTTACATTTGCGACATAGATTGATTGATTTTTTGAATTTATTGTTCGAAATGTTCGTGAAGTCTTTTGGTAAGTTATAAAGATAACTACCACCCCGTTTGTGCTGTGATGAACACTTTTGCAGTAATGTTGTTGTATTTTTTGTTACATTTTCTGTATATTGTCATGTCATTTTCAGAATATAGATTGGAAAAATAATAAGGATTTTTATTTAAATATGCTCCTTTATGATTCAGTAAAATCTAAACAAGAAATGAGGCACGTTAATGTTTTTTTGAACAGTTCCATCACCGAAATGATTAAGGAATGATAAACGTGTTTAGTGGATTTCAGATTATTGATAGCAGTATACGATCACATTGTTCATTTGAACATACCTTATTTTGTTATCAACATATTTATCTATAAAGTCAATGTTATTGAAAAAAATGTATATGTCAGATGAGAAGAAACACTGAAGATGTTCAAGCCTCAAATATAAAAATTGTTAACCATACAAATTCACCAAAGCTCGAATAAAAGAAATTAAAGTTCAAATTGTTACACCGATGAAACCGAAAGTTGAGAAATAATAATAAATAAAGTGGGTTGAGCTTTTTTTTCATGTCCGAAAATGTGAAGCAATGAAATTATAAAATAGAATTTCTTAGTCTTAATGGACCAAGATATTGATCAAATCATTTTAGTATATTCAGTAATTATATTATATTTTTAATATGTATTTGTTTGTTTTACAACGTGTGTCACGTAATTTTTTATTCAAATGGCATCTTATAATATTACACATTTATATTATACCTGGGAAATATGAACTGTCCCATCTACATAATGTAGCCCAAAGGACTAATAAATCTATCTATTTGACGCTAATTGGATTTAGGGTAAAAACAAGTGGTGGAACCATTTTACAATCATTTGTTTAACACTGCAACAACTGCACTCACAGTGCTCTGAAACACAAAATTGTAATGACGATTAAGTATTTTTTTTAAATTTTTATCATTGATTTAAATAAAAAACTACAAAACAAAGCAAATTTTTCATTTCTTTGAAAATTAAAATCATAAACTAACAACTATCGATCAAAACTACTGATTCTAAAGAAGTAGAGTACTTTTTACCAAAAATATTTGTATTCATAAGATAAAATAAAAGTGTGAAATGGCAATTTTTCTAAAAATATAGCCCTTTCAATTTAGGCAATTTTCATTTTTTACTCGCATTGATTTTCGTTTTATATCGTGCAACTCCTAATTGAAGGGAAATACATTAGTTATGCTGCGTTGTTGTTACCTACTTTTTTTTGTTATTTGATAATATCGTCTTTATTATTTCATAAAACAAAAAAAAACAACTCCACAATCAACATTAGTTACATACTATGATCAAGTGAAATAAAGGGTGAAGTTCATCGTCCGTAATGGATTGCATTACAGATAATGCATTTTAGGTGACCCCCCATCTAATAATTATCACAATTCAGAATGCTTCAGAAAGCAACTACATAGATTTAAAAAAAATTATGGAATCTGAATTTATATAACAAACTATCTGAAAATATAAACATTTGAAGACATCAGGTTTTCAAAATAAAATAACACTCTGTTTAAATCTGTTAAAATCTTCAACCTCCTTGAGGAGACAGCACCCAACCCCTCAAAAAATTCAAATACAATGAAGTTGGATGGATTGTTTAATTCTCTATCCATCAAGCTTGTCGCTCACTTGTCCGGCACAGCACAGCGCTGTCTTGTCCAGCGACAACCAGCATACTGAAGGTGCTGTTTGTTCGATTTCAAGGGAAATAGTCATAAAAATGAATGTTGTCGGTCCATCCCATTTATCAAAAGAGGGCAAATCTGGGGGACTTTCATCATCTTTTCAACGATCTGAAAGATGACGAGTAGAAATCTTTCCAGTATTTCTTATCGGAGAGCTGGAATCCTTTCCGGCGGCGGACGGACTTGGCTGTGCCGTGCCGGGCTAGTGGGCACTGGTCCATTCATTTTCATTGTTCCAATCCTATCCGTATTTTGACGGGCCATGCTGTGCTGGACAAGTGAGCGATAAGCTTCTTTTTTCATGAAAAATATTACATGTCACCAAAAAAAAGAGACATTTTAGATCAAGTGTTAAAACTTGACGCCCGTTTACTTCTTGATTCTCTTAAACCATCAACTTATTTGGACTTGAAATTTTAATTGACTTAAAATACTTGGCATTGAAAATTGCGCATACGTGCTTCTGTGTGTGTAGCCACCACATATCCTAATATTAAAATTTTATATATTTGTGTGACCATTGTTCACATAAATCAACTTGACACTTAGCAATAAATAACGAATACGTTTTGCATTTTCATTTTTCTTAAAATGCCGTCCTTTAATGAGCTACTTCAATCTTGGGAACAGGAAAAAGTTGGAGGAGGCCAAATCTGGTAAATATAGTGGCTGAGGCAAGATTGCCGCTGTTTTTGGCGAAAAAATTACGAACAAGCAATGACGAGTAAGCAGATGCAAAAGCCATTTGTTGTTTTTCCGTAAAACCGAACGTTTTCTTCATATTGCTTCTCGCAAGCGGCACATCACTTCAATATAATACTTCTTGCTGACCGTACGACCATGTGGCAAGAACTCCTGATGCACTATGCCGCGGTAATCGAAAAAAACAGTGAGCAAACTTTGACATTTGATCGTACTTTGCGTGATTTTATTAATCTTGGCTCTTCCATTGGGACGATATGCCGATGATACGTCAGCAATTATAACCCTTTTAAGCAAATCCTGGATCGTCGTTGACGTCATCAACAATTCCTGAGCGATCCTCATACGACGGTTTTTTTGGCAAAATTCACCAATTTTGGAATTCTGCCACACGCTTCATGCCAAAAATATGCCAACTGTCCCAGTAACTTTTGTAATAGTGATTCGACGATTCTCCATAGAAAGTTTCTTCACTTTTTCAAAATTTTCATCGGTTGTTGATGTGCTGGGGCGTCCATAGTGAGCGTCGTCATTCCCAGCTTGTACCACTTGTACGATTTTTCTGACTCAGAGTAAAATCACCTTATGCTACTGTCAACATTTCAAGTGATTTTGAGCACTTAATTTCAGACTACTACTGAATACAAACCATTATTGTCACCTCTACGATACGATATCGATATCAGTTGAATATAATATTGAAATTCTTGAGAATGTGACTAACTTGAGGGTGAATTGCTTTATATTGTCACATGCAATAACTCTTTCCAAGGTATCAGAACAAGTTTCGCTTCTAGAGCCCTTTTGTTCAGGCGTGAGGATTTTTGATACCAATTTGAAACACGCTTTTCTCATCTTTTCCGATTTTTCGTCAATTCCTACAATCTCAGGAACTGTAAGGATACTCAAGCGGCAATCTATACTGATGAGAAACTGTCGTTTAAAAATATATTATGGATGTCTGGAGTTTTACATAGGATGATGTATACCTATATCATCATTTTTAAGCCACGTTTCACATAATAAAAAGAATATTACGTGGCTTGCTGGTTAGATTTTTATAATACTATCAACAGTACTTGTCTATCGCACACTAAACATTGATCGTCTGTCCACCAAGAGAGGAGGAGCCTGCCTTCCGCTGACGTATTCGTGAGAGAATGGGAAGCTAGACAAACTGGCGCCGTTACGTGTTAGGTAACGAAGCGGCTTACCCTCTCATAAGAAGGTATCACTTCAAAAAAATACATACATTTATGTAACACTTCTTCAGTTAGCAACCGGTTATATAGGTGGCAGTTGTGTTTGATTTATATTTCATTTATCTTCAGCATTAATTATAGTTATATTTTATTTTGAAAGTTTTCGAATAACTAACGATTTCATTTTGTTACCCAAAAATATATTGTAATAAAACTACAATAAATGTTCAAAATAACCGCCATTTTCCTGTAAACAAAATCCGACTCTTTTTTGTTTTGAAATGATCTTCCAACATCACCAAACATGACCGAAGTTATTCTTGTGAAACTTTATATAATTCTTTTTTCATATTCTAAGGAGCGATATTCAGGGTGTTTATTAAACATGCGGAAAAAATCAAGGGACTATTCTAAGGATATTTTGTCCTTTGATGAGTTTTGATAGAGTGCTTTGTTTCGAAAATACGGGGCTTACTACACTGGACCTACCAAGTAATAAAAAATCTAACAATTCCGTTGGTACATCAACAACATTCCGATTACAGCAGATTTGAGAAATCGGATAATTGCTGGGTATATCGCAATCAGAAACGGTCCTGGTGTTTTGAAAGAGTTCGGGAGTCGATGAGGAGAAGATTGGATTCTTTCATCCGAGCCGAGGGTAGTCATTTTCAACGATTCTTGTAGATTAAGAAACATTTCATGTAATTTTTGGTAATGAATTGTTATTGTGAAAATTATTTTTCGCTCCGTATCTTCAAAGCAAAGCGCTCTATCACAAATCATCAAAGGAAAAAATATCCTTAGAATTGTCCCATAAATTTTTGCGGTATGTTTAATAAACACCCTGTATTTAGCACAATACACCATATTTTCCACACAAGAGAAATTTATGCTTGTTGAATCTGGTGACCTGGCTGGCCAGTTATGAATGTTACCTTTTAGGAAACATTGGAGAAGAGTAGGAAGCACCATCCAATTGTGACCACATTCATTATTTTTTCGAAGCGTTATATTATTACTGAGGGAGGGTAAATAAAAAACCGTATATGGCAATTATACATACAGTTTATTCATACAGGCATTCAAATAATCTGCAGTAGCGTTAACACATCAGTCTTACACTTATATATATATTTAAGCAATCAATAGCAATAATATATTTAGCCTAACGGTTAAGTTTATATTTCGTATAGCCTTCAACAAACAAAATGGAATTCTATGGCTACACGAATATTTCATCTCTTAAGAAAATATTTTTCACAGAAAATTTACATTTAGGCGATCAATATTTAAAAAGTAATCTCATAAGCAACTGTTTCATATAATCAACTTACAATAATAATCTACTTAAAGAAAAATGCTTGAACCATATTTAGTTTATCAGGATTTTCCATTTGAGGATACAGCAGTCAACATCATCGCAATATTTCAGCAAGCTGATTAATTCTATTGGAGCATAACGTGAATTGCCCTACTTCATTGGAGAATCATTTCGTGAAATATAACGAGACCAGCAGAGCAGCATGAACCTCGAGACTTTTGATATGCATTCAATCTGAAAAATAGCGTATAGCAAAAATATCATGGCAAGATCATCCCTACATTTCGAAACTAGTTTTTCTTTGACTAAGCTTGGCAATACGTCTCGTATAAAATGCTATTTACTTTTTGGTCTGATACACATGGATATGTGTTTCGTAAATTCTAAACTGCGAAAGGACAAACTCTAAAGTTTACTCTGTACATACTACAAAAAAAAATCAACCGGAGAACCGAATGCCAAACTATTAGCAGGATTTCTAGAAGAGCACCATTGATAAAACAATCTTGTAAACATTCTTAAACACAAATAACACAAAAACACTATAAGACAAAATACAATATATGATAAAAAAATAATTATATAAGTTCATTGGTCTTGGTAAGCTCGGACCCCTTTCAGCCCAGCATTCTACATTTTAAAATAACACAGCTCACATTCATATGGTCGATTACCATGAGATCTGTCTATATCCATAAACTCAATTTATAAACTGCCTTTGGAAACTGGAACAAAAATGTAAGCGAATATACTTTTTGAAGACTTTTTTCAGAAAAACTAGCCGTCAATTCAACTGGAGTTCTCCTTTTTGGAATCTGAAAAAAAAAAGAATCAGGGTATATATCTTTTTTTGCCTCTCACACTATTTTTATTTTTTTGTTCAATTTGCCCTAACAGACAAAAAATTAAAATTTGGAAAAAATGAATAGCATCAATAAATAGAGTACAAAATTCTCCATCGATCAGTATACACCTAGACACAGTGAAATAAATATTTATTCATATATGGAGCTGCAAAAACACATGACATTAAAAAGGGCAATTTTTCTGAAACAACTTGATAATTCCATATATTTATATGCATTTAAAACACCTAGATATCATCCAAAAGAAATAAATCGCAAGTAAAGCTTGGAATTGACGCTTTTGTGGCATATCCACTAACTGATTTAGAATAGAATTTATTCATGATTGAAATATCATACACATATAACATATATATATACATTACCGGTACAACATTCATGATAGTAACATAAAACGAAGAAAGTAGAAGAAAAAGACAGCATAGGTTGTTTCAAATTCGATCCTTACCATTGGGATCTCGGAAACTATGAGAGATACAAAGATGATTAAATTGGGGCAAAGTTTAGCATTTACCTGACTAACAATATGCCGTTGAGAAAGTTCTGGATTCCGAGTATGTCCAGAGAAATCCGGTAAAAACGAAATTTCGGAAATTGGTTATTTTTTTCTGACTTCATTTTTTGAAGGACTCGAAAATAAATTACACTTCCACATTGCCACTTTTTCCCCTACATAATGGTGTTTTCAGATATGCTATCCGATGTTTCGTCTTCCGGCCACCATCATCAACTTTATTTTTTATTATGGGCGCTACATTGAATTCCTTCTATTTTGAATAGAATCAGATTTTATTTTTCAATGATGTATCATAAGTTGTCATTCTTTTTCGAAAAATTGGAGATGTTGATTGAACTTGGTAAGATTTTGATCCAATAACTTGAACATAGTTCGATGTGGTTGTCGTCTTTCGGGATACAAGTTTAAATACATTTCCGATGTCTTAACACTGTTTTTATCATATTTGTAATGAATTTGTATCATATCTTTTTTTTTCTTTATTCGTGAAAGCCATTTTTCGCCAAAAATTCAATGACTTGTATTGTCATTGAGTGTAACAAATTGAAAGTCAAATCAAAGCCTATTATGATAAGAATTAATTTTTTTCAATATCGCCAATTTCTCGAAAAAGAATGATAACTTATGATACATCATTGAAAAGGTAAAATCTGGTTCTATTCAAAACAGAAATAATCCAATGTAGCGCCCTTAGAAAAAATTAAGTTGATGATGGTTGCCGGAAGACGAAACGTCGGATAGCAAATCTGAAAACACCATTGTGTAGCAGGGAAAAAGTGGCAATGTGGAAGTGCAATTTATTTTCGAACCCTTCGGAAAAAAAGCCAGAAAAAATAAAAACCATTTTCCGAAATTTCTGTTTTTTTCGAATATCTCCAGATGTACTCGGAATTTCAGAAATTTCTCAACGGCATATTGTTAGTCAGGTAAATGCGCAACTCTACCCCAATTTAACCATCTTCGTATCTCTCATATTTTCCGAGATTGCAATGGTGAGGAACGAATTTGAAACACCCTGTACATTCAAGTCTCTAAAAATTCTTTGACATCAATGAAGTCGCCCCGGAGCGCCAATTAATTTTTATTGTTGTTTTTATTTTATTCTTTGACATTGTAAAAGGCATTTTTCAAGAGGAGGTGCATTTAAAGCTTTTTCAAATTTCTGTAGTTTTCAATATTTCCTAATAACATAATGACTCCTTGATAGCTTGCAGAGTCTTGCCCAAGGGCTAATCGAGAATTATTGGTATTGTCTTTGTATTTATAATTAAAAAAATATATTCACGAGTATATTTTCTCAAGCAATTCATGACAGTAGATATTTGTTAAGAACTCTAGTATGATAGGACTAAAAATGAAATAATTTTTATTGATTTTTTACTTGAACAATTTTCAAATATTTTCATATATTACAGTAAAAATGGTTCAGGTCAGGAATTTTTCTATATTGTCCTTCAGAAATTTAGGTTTTTCTCTGTCAAAAATAAATGTTTTCAGGTGGAATGTTTTTTCATATGCTGATTCTTTAAACTTATGTCATTATTTATCTGCATCATTGGACTGTTTTCATCTTAAACATTCAAAGTGATTTTTTTTATGCAACGCCATATATACTTATTTCTATTCTTGTTTTCATTATCTTTTTCCAGTCTCTTACAAATAGTTATGTAAGTATCATAATCTCACCTGAATCTCCCGCCGAATCTCCATTGGTGACAGTTTCTTCTTTCTTCTCTTCTTTCTTCTCTTCCTTCTTCTCATCTTCTTTCTTCTCCTCGGATTCCTTCTTCTCTTCAGAAGACTGTTTCTTCTTGTCCTCCTTATTCTTTCCTTTGGCCGGAGTAGCTGGTTTTGGTTTAGGCTCCAAGCTTGGATCCAGAATTATTTTACCTACATTCTTGCGGTCGTGCATCTTTTGCATTGCCTCAGCAACCTGAAAGTGAAGAAAATTATCGTATGGTTGCGTCCAAGCAGTGAGCATCGTTTATTAAAATATATGAACAAACTATCAACCATTATATAGGAAGTATAAATGAAATTTGCCATAGTCAGCCAAATAACCCTTTATGAGGAAATTAATAAGGTCAATAAAAAAGCTGCTCAATTGAATACAACAAAATCCTGAGGTAATATAGAAAAGACACTCACGAAGGAGGCAAATCGAGTAGATTGAACATACATTTAACTCTATAAAATAATATAAAAGCATTTTCCATGTGCAAAATTTAACAGACCACTGAGCAGTAGATTTGGAAAAGAATAAATGACTGTAAATTCATTCAAACAATCCTCTCCGGTACCAAACAGGATTTTGAATGTAATTTTCAGGGCAAGTTTGGCTCTGAAATGTATATCTAAAACTTGGAGAACTGAAGGCCAGCTTCATTTTGAAACTTGGGTAAACTGGACAAGATTTAAAGAAGCCCTTAAGACCAATAAGTCTTACAGAAAAACTACTTGAAAGGCATACAACATATGTATCACTATTCAAACATTCAAGGAAGTACTTTTAGATGCTTATTTGGACCCTGAAGGGGTTTACAATAATAGGTCTGTATAATGAGAACGAACATCAAACATGTTCAAGGATCATATGACACTGAAACACATACACATTTCCAAACCAGAAAATTATGAGCGAGAAAGTAATTACGAAAACATGCTCAGAGAAATTACCCGAAATCCTACAGGCGAGCCCCCAATATGGGATAGGAGCTGGAATATACTGTGCAGCTAGAAATTTATTTTACAGCTACCCACTCGGTTTATCCACCTTTCAGGCATAAATATGCAATCATATAAGTACTTTCGTGTAAGTTTTAGCAATTATCTTATACACTATATTCTAGTTAGCAGCAATAAAAAGAAGATAAGATTGTAGAAACTTCCCAAAGAACGCCCATTTAAGTAAGAAATATTTCGTAGTTTTTCTCAATACAAAACAGTTTTTTTTGTTGTAGTTTGAAGAAAGTGAAAAATGGTACCTCAGAATTTCAAGTGAAATTCTTATTTCTTATCTTTACTGTGGCTTGTAGAAATTAGGGCCAACTAGCTGATAACTAACGGCATCTGGGATAATAAAATACCAACTAATCAAAAACCCAAAATAATTTTCAACCTGTTATAAACGGAAGCGTTATACGTACGTCTTCAAGAGCCCAAGTAGAATCTAACAATGGCTTGATCTGCCCATCTTGGAAAAGCTGGAATACCTTCTGGATGGTCTGCGCGACGAATTCCTCACCATGCTGCTGATACATCAGCCGCCGCAAGTTGAATCCAGCCAGCGTGCGATTCTCGTCGAAGAGTTTCAACGGGGAAACTTTGTCAACTTGCCACCACTGAAAACAGTTTTTTTTATGACACAAATATTCATCTGATATCTAAGAGGACTCATCTTACCGATCGAGCAGCGCTAAAGAAGCTCTTCGTCTCTCCAGTCACCACGTTCGAAGAGCCGTATAGGACATACTTGCCCATCGGTTTAAGAAGCGTGTAGCCTTTGTTGCATTCTTCGCCGCACAGGCAATCGAGGACGATGTCCACGCCATCTGGAGACACTTTCCGGATCTCGCTCACATAGTCGGAACCCCTCTCCAAGAGATGGTCCACTGGTGAGTTGGCATTTTTCAGAGCTTCGTGCTTGGTCTTGGAGCAGACGCCAAAGATTGTTACGTCAGGTACAGTTTTGGCCAGTTGAGCAACGGCTTGACCCTGAAAAAGAATGAGGATGCAATATTTGTTCCCTTCTAAAATATGGAGGGAATTTAATCATTTGATAATTATACTTGGCATAGTGCAGTTGTCAAGCGTTACTGGTGAAGCACACTTCGGAAATGTGTTTGAACAATTCCGTAGTAGATATGGGCGCAATCTCGTCATAAAAAGCCATGTTATGGTGATGTGATGGAATTCCTTTCCCTAGCTGCTCTTGTGACTCTTTACGGATCATGAAGTAACCAAAGAATCCGATCCTGGATCTACTACATACCAGACTCAAACTGTCCTCCTTTTAATATCGGATCAAGAGCAAGAGATTCTCCAACTATTGATCTTGTTAATATGTGGCTACATTTACTGCTACAATGAATTTAATCCAAAGCCACTTTTCTAAGAATACCATTTAATGAATTTTGAATTATTCCAAAAACGGTACAAGCAATTTACTTTTTTTCTATTGAGTAGCAGGTTTTGAAAGGCCGGTACCATTATAGTGGAAAATCCAACATGCAGGTAGCGTTAAATTGGGGCAATGGTTGTGCACCCCACACACGATCGGAAGCTCGTGAGTTTGATCCCAACCTCTATCAGATATTTTTCTCGAGAGAATTTATCTAGTTGAAGTTGGGATGATTCTACAATATGTCTGAAGGATTGCGAATAGCCATGATGCTCCCTAGGTGGCTCGGGAAGTTATTAACATTACCTTCTCAGAACACGAGCCTAATGACCAATGAAGTCGATTCCGCTGACACCAAAGAAATCGAATGCAACTATTTCAACATTCTTTTCTGCTATCAAACGAAAACTCTCTGAATGAAAGCGGACATTTTCAGCATCTGTTTCAATTAATTTTTTGTGTATTCAGGATAATTTTGTGTTAGCATTTCACTAAGTAATTTTACCATTTCGCGATATGAATGAATTTATTTTTTTTGAGGTCAAATTAAAAAAAATGAAGCGACTGAATATGTTCAATAAAAAAATAACTTTCACTATGAGAAATGGCAGTGGCGTATCATTTTTCTTTTTAAAATGTTTCAGTGCAAATCCTGAACGGACCGCAGGATTTGTTGACAACATTGTTGTCAGGTTGTCATTCATCATATCATCTAATTATCTAATTATATTAGTAAATTTTCCGTACGCCACTGCAAGAGACAGATTAAGGCAAAAACATCACAGTCATTTCTGAGAATTTAGTCCCTACTACTTTGGAATTGTATTATAGTTTCAACATCCTAACTGTTTAGAGGAGATCTGAAATTCAACAATAAATCAATCCACCAGTGATACTGGTAACGTCATTTGACAGCTTGAGTTTGATAGATGAGGTTTCATCAATAATGAAAGAACGCATGGCAAACGTTCACACAGTTGCAACTGTTAAAAACCACAATAACATGTGGATGTATTGATCGATGATTGATGTCCTTGTCCATCCATAAATTGCATTGTTGGACAAATAGCATCTGAATACGAATAGTTCTATTGGTTCAGGTGGAGAAGAGAGAATGACTATTTAGTGTGTAGCATGGCTAATCAAGATTTAATAACGTGATGAGTGTCACATCAATAACGAATCAAACAATAAAAAGACGATTTTTCTACTTCACCTAACCTAACAACAAACTTACTCTATCGAGGCAACACGTCAAAGTTGATAGGTAGAATAACAACCTTTGGAATTTATAAAAAAACTCTTTCCGCACCAGAACGCAATTATGGATAGCGAAACACGCATCGAGAGACAACATTTTGTTATGGTGTTTCATAAAGTCAAAACTTTCGTATTGAAAGAGCGTTAATTTTGAAAACAATAATTGATACAGTAAAAAATAGGATTCAACGAAATTTACAATACCTACAAGTTAACTGAATAAGTGGGTATACTTGGATACTTGATAATTATATAAATTACTAGAGAAAAATTATGACATTGATGACGGTGTCAAATTTTCAAACATGTGTGAAATTATTAATTCCATTTCTAGAGCTATTATTTTTATTGCTTAGATATACCCAGACATAATGTATAAATGATATATAGGGTCTTCCGACAGGGACTTCCGAACTTTGATTACGGCCATCTCATTGAAGCTACATACATCAAATTACGGGCAACACGGGCAACGTAAGGCGTGCTTCAACGCTATAATCGTCCTACCGAGAGGACTCATCGCAATGTGGTGGATAAATTTGAGTCCACTGGCACAGTAACCGATCGACCAACACCCGTACGTCAACGAAACTCAAGATCCGCCAAAAACATCGTCGCTATCTGTGAGAGTGTACAGGAGATTCCGGGGCAGTCGAGTTCACGTCGCTCACAAGAATATGGCCTTTCGCAGACCACAACTTGGCAAATTTTGTGTCGTGACTTGGACCTGCACCCGTACAAAATTCAACTGACCCTGGAACTGAAGGTAAACGACCACAAACAACGATGTGTGCTCGCTGAATGAATTTGGGACGATATCAATCCACATGGAATCCAAGAACGTCCAATGCATTCCAAAACAGTCACTGCTAGTTGTTGATTTTGGACTGGCGGCGTCATGGATCCGTATTTCTTTGAGGGCGAAGTTGGCCAATCCGTCACTGTCAGCGTTGAGCACTACAGGTCGATGATTATCAACTTTTTTTAGTCTGAACTGGATGATCTGGACACCAACGGCATGTGGTTTCAACAGGACGGCGCTACGTGCTACATAGCTCATGCCACATTGGATATTCTGCACGAGTGATTTGAGAGCATGGTCATCTTACGTGGAGGTAATGTGAACTGGCTACAGAGATCCTGCGATTTGACTCTGTTATATTTTTCTTGTAAGGGTTTTCTCAAGTCGCGAATAAACCACAAACCACAGCTGGCCCTCAAAGCCAACATAACCCATGCCATCGGTCAAATTCGGAGTCATGGAAAATTGGACGTTTCGGATGCGCTCCACCCAGAGAAGCCGTGGCAGACATTTGAACGATGTTATATTCCACACATAATGGCATTAATAGGCCTTTCAAATGAATAAAACATTCCGATGATATCTCATATACACTTCGTTCTATTTAAATTCAAAGATAGGAAGCGCTTACTGAAAGACCCTATAGATACTTGTTGATAAATAAAATATCGATTTCTGTTACGTATTTCATTCGGGTGAAAACACGGGCAATAACTCTGCAATTCCCAAGAAGACTGAGATGGTCCTTTCACCAGGAAAAGAAGTTTTTAACGGGCTTAAAACCTCCCGAAATCTTCAAAAGCAAATTAAACGTCTCTGAAGAGGTGAAATACCTTGGTACTATCCTCGACAGGAAGCTAACATGGAAGTCTCACCTACAGTGTAGAGCAAAAAGAGCATATGTGGCTTATGAGCAATGTCGGAAGACGCGCATGGGGTCTTTCACCCCGTGTGGTCACCTGGATCTACACTGCAATAATAAGACTTATGTTAACGTACGGAGCCATTGCATGGGGACCAAAAGTTCTACAAGCAACGGCCATCCAAAAATGATATTAAATATAGCGATTGGCTTGTTTAAACATCACAGGAGCCATGAGAACAACACCAACTGCGGCAATGGAATTTTATTGGTCTGACCCTTCTGGATCTGTAAGTTAAGGAGGTTGCGTTAATTGCCATGTTACGATTGCGCACGGGTGGTGTAAACCTCGAAGAAGGAATGTGTCAATTGAGGCTGAGCCTATAGCGAGAAGCGCTCACTGCGTAACCTCTGCTGCAGGCAACCAGTGATGCAATTGAACCCAGGTTTGTGTTTAATAAACCCTACAAAATATAAATAAAACAGAACACAGAGTCAGATGCTACAAATGCAATACGCATATACAGGGTGTTCCTTAAATACATGCTAATATTTAAGGAGGTAATTTTTAGACCAATTTTAAGGAAAAAATGTCCTATGGACGTATGTCCTAAACGCCTTAACTTTTGAGATACAGGGTGGCAAAGTTTTCAACAATAATCAGTTTTTTAATAATAACTGAGATAATTTTGTAGACATCTTTGGCATATTTGGTACATATGTTCCATGCCTCAAGGCGCATTTTCTGATGTACAATTTTCTTTTTTTTTTCTTAGATTGGGTCTCAGAATTACCTCCTTAAATATTAGCATGTGTTTAAGGAACACCCTGTATACAGACGGCTCAAAAACCAAAGAAGACTCTGGATGTGACGTGTATTCCAGATCACTAAGCCTAAGGATTAAGTGGGTGGTATCTCAATCGCCACCAAAGAAATAACCAGGAAGGGAATTTCTGGAAAAGACATAACACTATGCACTGATAGCAGACAAGCCCTATTAGCATTGAACAGACGTGTTACCTCAGGGCTATTACTAGAGTGCCACCAAAATTTAGCCAAAGCCTGGGTAGATAATAACATTATCTTGAGGTGGATTAAAGGGCACGACATGAGTGAAGATAATCACATTGCCGACTCTTTAGCGGCTGTACTAAGAATTTTAGGACCCAGTGGCACCTACGGCCTAATCGCTTCGACAATTGCGGAACTAACCAAATACACCCATGCTTAATCCCTAAAGAGATGGGATGCTATTTGCCAGGATGCTATTTTGCCATGATCGCCCTGGGCGACCCTGGAAAGCTGGCGATGACCAGGAAAAATCTACGCTTAACAGTAGGATTTCTAACTGGCCACTGTCAACTAACGAAACACCTCCACAATATGGGGCTAGTGGAGACACCTCTATGCAGGATATGTGAACAGAAAGATGAAACTGTCAGGCATGTCCTATGCGAGTGTTTGGAGTTATCGTCAATGAGAGAGTGTGTGTTCGGCGAGTCTTGGCCTACACCTGTCGATATAAAGAATATGTCTCCTAGTGACGTGTCCACCTTACTGGAAAGGACAGGATGGTCGATGACCTAGGAGGACAACTCCTCGATGTACAATGGGATCCCATGTGGTCTAAGTGCTGTGGGCCTATACTGACTCTCCCTACTTTACAGAT